GGGGGGTAGGGCGGGTTGGGCTGGGATGCGTGATGCCGCACCAAGTCGGAGGCGTGGTTTGGGGACTGCATGTGAGAAAAGAAAGGGCATGCGCATGCCTGCAAGGGGCTGCAGCTGAGCCCGCAGGTGGCGCAGCCCTGCAGGGTGCCGCTGCTGTGCCTGCGCCGCGGGCTATTGCGTGCCACCGCTGGGCCGCGTCAGCCCTGCAGTCGCGGTTCTCCACTGTTGCTGCGGGCCTGGACTGCTCCAGCATGCCCTTCTCCTTTCCCTCACGACGCTGCATCACACGTTCATTCTTCACCTTCCCCTCCTCAACCACTTGCAAAGCTGCCGCTGCAGGCCCCTCCTCCGCACCCCCCCACCCCTCCCTCTCCAGTGCGCCTCATGGCCACTGCCACATGGCCTCCACCGTTTGCAGACCTCCAGCCGGCGCAGTCCGGCCCCCCGCAAGCTGCAGCCTTGCACACCGTATCGCGCAGAGCGCCGCCTTCTTCCTGATATAAGGGTTGGCGTCCTCCAGCAGCCGCTCCACATCAGGCGCCAGGTCACGCGCCATCTCTGGCCAGCGGGGGGGTGTCATGGAGCAGTGGCACGTGGGCAGGGCAAGGCGGTGCATGTAGGCATAGTGCTGCACGTCCGCAACGGGTCTCGCCTGGTGCGACCGACAGCCCTCGCCTTGAGGCAGTCCGCCGCTGGTGCGGCCCCCGGCGCGGCCGTTCACCGGCCGCCACCGGCCGCCGAGGGCCGCCGCTCGCGCTGCTGCCAGCTGCCCAGCCCCAACGACACTGTGCGTGCGTGCGGGCGCGCCCGCCGTTCAGCCGAGCACAGGATGCTGCTGGCATCTGCTTTGACACCTCTAAGGCCAGATATCAAACCCTGAAATCCCGCGGACGCGCGTTGCGGCACGCACCCGCGGAGCAGATGTTCCCGAGCGCTGCAAGTGCGAGCCCTACGATGTACATGTTCTTGTGGTTGTTGAGGTCCATCTTGAGGCTGTTGGTCACCAGCATGAGCACCTCGTGGCGCTCGTCCAGCAGGATCATCAGGCCCAGGTAGCCGATGCGCTGCGCGGCCGCCGCCGGGGGGTGCGGGGTGCGCGCGCCGGCGGGGGTTTGCCATGCAGCGTGCGCTGGCATGCGGTGCTCGCATGCGGTTGGTAGTTGGTGGAGCAGTCGCAGCTGCTTGAGGGGACCATACCAGCTGTTGCTGACGCACTGCGTGCGGGCTGATGCTCTCCATGCAACAGCAGCTTCAGGGCTGCGTCGAACGGGGCGCAGCGCGAGCAGCGGCACGTGCCAACGGGGCGGCGCACCTTCTCCGGGAAGCCGTTTGCGGCGATCAGCTTGAGCGTCTCCATCTGGCCAAAATGCGTTGGATATCCCAGCATGTGGATATACATCAGCTTGGCCACGTTCCTGTGCCTGTAGCGCGAGTCTTGGTCCTTGAAGGCCTCCCGCAGAGCAGCGGACTCCTTGGCAATCACATCCCGCTCCTCCGCTGCTGTCTTGCATGCCCTGACGGCCCTGATCAGCTCCCTGCGGACAGTACACTCTCGGTTGGTGTGTGATCTGCTGCACTGCTGCTCCCGGGAAAACGCCGCTCGATCGCGAGCGGCCCCATACCTGAGCCGTATACTGCTCCTCCCTGCCGCCGCCAGCGCGGCGGACAGCCCCAGCTCCTCCGCAACCTCGCGGAGCATTGCGCCCCCCTTGCTCACACGCCTACGCAAGCGTGGAATCAGCGTGGCGTTGTGTACGTTTCTTTAGGGATGACAGGTTGTTAAAAGGTAGCCAAGCAAGTAGTACCCTATACGATGCGGCCTGGACACGCTGCGCGTTGCTGCTGTGTGGGAGCCGTAGTCACCGGTGGCACGCTGACACCCGGGACCATTTGACCGCCACGCTTGACCGAGTTCCAGGTTTGGCATCGGGGTGCGTGAGGGGGATCAACAGAAATAAAGTTTTCACACACACTCTTACAGGTACGTATGAGAGAGGGGCGCAGCATGCGGTGCAGGCAATGTGGCTCAGGAGGCCTCATCACCGAGCAGCAGGCAGCACGCTGGCAGCGAGTCGTGCGCCCGATGCTGTGGATGAGTGAAGTGCCCATCTGAGCAGGACGGCCGACAGCAGATGCGACAGGCGCGACGATGAAGCATATCCTTGGGGATGCAGTGGCGGTGTGCCCATGCGCAAGGCAGCAACTGGCAGCTTACACAAGAGGAAGGGCGGTAAATGCAGCTCTCAGGGCTCCAACGCCCTGGCCTTTTTTAGCCAATAGAAATGGCCACACACGGGGAAGGGCGGTAAATGCAGCTCTGAGGGCTCCAACGCGCTGACCTTCTCTAGCCAATAGAAATGGCCACACATGCTAGGCACCTGTCACCCGCTAGAACCCAATAAGGGATGCTTGCAAGGGAAGGCAGTGGGGGAGGCAAGGTTGACGGCGCAGGTGTTCAAATGCGCAGATCAATAAACGTCGTTTGAAGGCGCCCATGGGAATGCAGCATGTGTTCTCGACGCAAGATCCCAGCAGTGTGGTAGACTAGCCGACCGTCTGGCGCAATGAGGCGCCAAGCAAGCTGTCGTCAGCTGAGAGCACGCAGGCAAATGGGCGTGGGGCATCACCAAGGTGACACGGCGCAATCGCTGCATTTGCGAGTTTAAGATCCGCAATGCATGTGATGAGGTGATGTGCAGCAATTTGAGGATAGAATAGCCCATACAGACATACGTGCGCCTTGGACTCACATAAACTTGGATGAATGCTTGCTGCAGCCCTGGTGGAGGTCATGCTAGGCACACTTCGAGGGTGAGCGCTTAGATCAGATGAGGTGTGTTGCGCTTGGGGGGCTCAACAACGTGTGGATGAACAGCCACAAGGCTCCTGGGAAGATGCACAACAGCCTGGTCAAAGTTTGAGGTGGATATGATAAAAATAAACAGGCTCTGGATGGCAGATGCGTGTCGCAACGGCGCGAGACAGCTGGAGGCAGCGTCACACGCCAGGAGGCGGGGGCCAGGCCCAGACCTTGACGTGGTCAATTTCCATGCGTGGCGCCACCCAACTTGCCGCAGCCGCGTCCCATTGCGACGCAGTGGTGAAGCCCCCAAACTCTGATGCCGAAAAGAAGCCGCCGCCGACAGCGACTGCAGGGTTGATATGAGCAGCAGGATGGGTCATGAGTGCCAGAAAGCAGCGCGGTTTGCACACAGGGGGATGTGCGTTGAGCAGCACTGCACTCACATCTGCCATTGCTGCCAGAAGTGCTGTCGCGATCAGTGCAGTGCCTGTTGCCAGCACAGTGTACAAGGCAGGGAATGCAGTGGAAGCAGCGGCGCTTGCAGCAGCGGCGAGTTGCAGGTCCAGGCACCATGTGGTCGACAGGTCAACACTGCCAACACCCCGACGGCTTGAGCTTCTCACCGTTCAGCAGCAGGTGGAACCTTTCGTCCCATGGCTGACCAGCTGCAGTGTAGGGGGATGCATCAGATGTGCGGAAGCTGCCCGACAGGTCCCTCTGATAGAACACATTGCCATCCACTAGCCACCGCATCAGCTTGGGCCGTCCTGTCACCACATCTGATGTCCATTCGACCGCAAAATCGTGCATGCCCGCTGAGAAGTCCATGCCGAGGAAGCGCTTGCGACCTGACCCCTGGTTGACATTGTTGGGCCATGCAGCACCGTAATGGAGGGTCCCTTCGACTGTGTCACCTAGTGACGCCTGGCCGCATGCCTCCATGATGTCAATCTCACCGGAAGCCGCCCAGTTGCCGTAAATGCTGGTGCAGATAGAGGATGTATGCATTGGTTAAAACAGAGGTGTTCCAGCAGTGGCAGCAGCGTGGGGAGGTGTGCATGTTTATCAAATCACTTGCAGCTTGTGCAAGTCACCAGCCAACCCAGCTGCAGGTACGCGTGCATAATCTAATGTGCCCGATGCTTCCCGTCTACTTACGGAGCTGCTGCCAACCCCGAACCTGAATCCATAAGAAACATATGCTCATGCCGCACCTCGACGCCCAACCTGCTCAGGTCCCCCCTGGAGGCCCCCGCCCAGAGCAGTCACACCGCCCCTCACCTGTCTGTGGGCAGCATCCAGATTGCCGGCCACAAAAAGTCGCCGCGCGGCAGCTGCGCCCACACTTCCACGCGGCCGTACTTCCAGCTGCCAAAGGCGGAGCGCTTGGTGCGCACGCGGGCGCTGGTGAAGGGCCGAGTCCAGCCGCAAGAGTTGTCATTGTTGTTTGTGCAGCCCTGGGCGGGACAGGCGCGTGGGGGCACAACCGGGCCTTGCATCACACAGCTGGATGCATTTCGTTGTAAGATTGCGTCATGCTCGGAAAGAGCGCTACACATGACATCAGCAGTCGTGTTGACGTAATACCCGCTCCTCATGTCACGTGTGAAGGTTACTGTATTCAAAGCGGGTCTGTATTTAATCCAGACGCACCAAGGCGGAGCCGGTGTAAGCGCCGCGTCGCGCCTCCAGCACCAGGCGTCCGCGCTCCACCCTGAGGTTCTCAGGGCGGTCCACGTAGCACTGCTGCTCGTTGTTACCACCGCCCCTAGCACGCAGGGCGTGAGTGGAGCAAGAGAGGGTGGCGATCACCGTAAGCATGGTTGCGCGCTGCACAGGATGGGTGCCAGGCTGATCATTGCGGTTGTTGCGCCTTCCGCTGGACACAGCCCTAGCTAGAGAGTTCTGCCGACCCTCTGGCTGTCCTCCAATGGCCCACCAATAGGCCGCACTGTAGATCCCCGACCCACAGCCAGCGACATCCCCAAGGACATTGTGGGAGTGCAAATGAGTTCATCTTCACTCAAACCGCACCCCAGCCCCACTGGCTCGGCTCACCAGCAGTCCACCTCGACATCAAACAGAGAACGGTTCAGGGTCCCGCTGTCAAACGTCTCGACAAGGATTGGCAAACCCCAGCCTGGCAGGGGCTGCTCGCTGGGTGGCGGGGATGCCGACGGCTGTGGGCTTGGATTGGGTGAGGGACTTGGACTGGGAGAGGGGCTCGGACTGGGGGATGTT